TCAGAACACGTTATTTCACAAAACTGCATTTTGTTATATAACCAATAACGAATAACCAATAAGGTCACCAGTTAAACAGTTGTTATAGTGATGACTGAACTCTACATTTTTCATTTCATTTTTCATTATTCATTGAAAATATGTTAATTTAGTGATTTGGTATCTTTTAAATGATTTTGGAGCAAATATTTTGCAACGTGTGGAAAGAATTTAAGCCCAAGACTCAATGCATAAATGACCATTCCTTTTAGGCGTGTTTCATAAAATTAACACTCGATGCTCCGCATCTCGTGCAAAGGATAGGTATCGATATGTAGAACTGAATTCAACAATGTTTTTCTCTTAAACCAATCATTGAAAACATTCTATAAAAAACATGGTATTGTATGTAATGTTGACTGATTGAGAACAATTTAATGCGAAAATTATTTAGAAGTATTTTATATAGCTGTTTTTTTTTGTTTTTTTGTTTTTGCTCCTTTCTACCAATTCTTGAGAATGAAATAAAATGTCTTTCCGAACCTTGTTGGAACAAAATAGCATATACAACATGTTTTAGACCTCTCAATATTAAAGTTATACAAAGGAATTTCTGGTTGATTTTAAAAAAGTATTCAAAAAATAAAACAAAATCCCCCCAAAATAGATAAAAATCAAGAAAAACCTTTTATTTCATTAACAAGATACTTTTTTAAAATCAACCAAAATTTCCTTTGTACAATTACAATATTGAGAGACCTAAACATGTTGTGTTTATGTCGTTTTGTTCCAATGAGGTTCGGAAAGATGTTTCATTTCACTCTGGAAACGTGATACCAAGAACAAAACAAGTGTTTGATGTGTTTTTTAAAACAATATATATGAGAGTATGTATATCTATTTCAAATTATATTGTTGCCATTCAAAAGATGGCCATTAAATTGACAATTTGTAAGATTTTCAGAAATGTTTGACGACTGGTTTGAGAGAAACGTGTGTTCAAAAAGTTCGCCATATCGATACCCATTCTTTGAAAAGGAACACGTACCTTCAAGCAGGGGTCATTCCACATTGCATTGAGTCCAGGGATGAAATCCTATGAAAAATTCAAGGATCAACATTCTTATAAACGTTATACATTAATCACTTGTAGGATTTTCACTCAGGGGGATGTCTAGGACGAAATTTCTTCTAACATGGGTTCACAGAGTGGAACAGATCATGGTGGGTAGCTTAGAGGATGTAGGTATGGTGTGTTCTGGATAGATTTTCTGTTGATCTAATTATCTAAATAATATACGAAAGGCATGCATCTATTGTCAGAAAGGACCATACTCACCCAACATTTTGATTGAAAACGTCATACCAAGATGTGAAAGGACACCTGGTCAAAAATATGGCTGTTTTAAATCACCAATAACATCATACATGTTTCTCTTTGAAAGCACTTATTTTTTTGAGGATGACTATGAATGATATTTTTGGACATGCTGAGTTGCGGCTATTTTTGATTTTTAAGTACAATATTGCCCACTATGTGCCTTTGTTTTTAACTATTTTATATCCAAATAGCCAAGTTAAAATTATGAAATGGCAAATTGTCTTGTAGGTGCAAAAAGCAGATTTTTTGTTATGAACATGGAATATTTTGAAAGGATTTCTACTGAATTTCTCATATTTATGGAATCTTTGTAGAATGGCTACCACAGTTTGGTACTGTAAAAATTGTGATTGGCGTCTCAAATAGAATTTCCTATGGAGTAACTGCAGGGATCACTCAGTATTCTGTTGTATCTTTTAGCTCCTCTTTAATTGAATATAGAAAGCTTTTTAGATAAATTACCATGGGAACATGGGGCTAAAATGTAAAACACAATGGTTAACACCGGGATAATGAATAGATAAATACACCAGTAATAAACATTGCTAAGTACATAGTAGCCCGGACAGAATTGTTCAATGGTCACTTTTTCTTTAATAACTTTTTTAATTTTCAGTATTATCAGAGTCTGATCACATATTTGAAAACTAGTGTAAAATTCTGACATACAAAAAAATATTTGAGGAACATCTCCTAATTAATTGATATTATAGGCATTCATAGAATGACTGATGAAATACATAATTCATCATTTTGCCTCATATTTGTTCAAAATGGCGGCATATTTTGGGAATTTGAATGTTCAGTTGAAAGTTAATATTTAAAGATTGTCATAGGACTATAGGGCCATGCTGCCACCGTTACAATCCTTATGTAATGCAGCAACTGACCAGTCATCAAATACAAGAAGTCAAATCCCTCCAAGGGTATATGAAATCAACTCTATTGAAATGTTTGGGGTTGTGTTCAAGAGGATGTGAAAAGGTGGCGCCCTAATGCGCGGGATGTGATGAGAGTAGGTCCTTAATCTTTTCAAGAGCTCCAAGCTTAACAGCCATCTCAGAGGCCATTGAAAAGCTGAAGAACAATTCACATGCATGCCAAGGATGGGTAAAGAGGCGTGTGACTGGGAAAGATATTACAAACTGTGGCAGTATGACCCTATAGTTACATGGGTTCAACTAGGGTTAAAAAAGTTATTGAAGAAAAAGTGACCATTGAACAATTCTGTCCGGGCTACTAAGTAAGTGTCTATAGACTAGATGTCCTGTCAAGTTTAGAAAACTCTTAACTTAAAGATTTCTTCAATTAGAAATACCCTGCGGAGTTCAAATTGAAAAAGACAAATGAATCTAATATTCATAAGCGCACCTCATATGTCGACATTCTAATTAAAATTGCACAAGTACAACGTATATTTCAAGATATATGACAAAAAGATGACTTTAATTTTGAAAATTTTCACATTTAATTAGTGGTATTCCATTGAACCTGCTAAAAATATTCAGATTTTAAATCACGACATGTTTTATTGCTAAAACGCCTAGGTAAAGACATTTCCTAGGCTTTACTGAGAAAAATAAATCATTAGTTCAGAACTTTCAAGTTTTGCTACTGACTTGTCATGCTCAGGGATGTTGGGATTCTTAAAGGTTTGCATTTAACTCACACATTTTTCATTTGGCTCCTTCAGGTTAAGGTGGATCCGGCTATGGCATTAATGGTTGAGAAATAAGGATCGAAACCATGGATTGTGGAGTTGGCTTTGCGAATGGATGTTGACCCTTTGCATTTCTACGCTTTAAATATTGACTTCGAGACTGGATTTTTCTTGTTTCACATCGTTTGACTACAAGTATCCTATTCATGCAGTGGATGTTTGCATGGCAGTTGAGTAGTTCAATTAAGGTAAAGAATACACTCTCGTGGCCTAATTTGGAAACAAGGCCGTCAATGCAAATAAATGAAAAAGTTTAAGAGTTAAAAATAATCTCACACCAAACTATGTGACAGACATCTTTGAACCTCTGAGAACTCAAATCACTCGAGAACTCCGATCTAATCTTAATTTCAAAATACCTGCCAAAATGTTCAACCAAATTTAGAAACTCCTCTGCTATCTCCCATTGGAATATTACTGAAGCATATTCGAGAAAGCAGAACAATTGCCAGCTTCAACAACCTACTAAAAAATAATACCCAACCCCCTAATTTTCTTCCTACTACTAAATTAAAGTTGACAAGAAGTCGAGAAATAATTCTCAATAGATTCAGGGTTGACTTGCTCACTTAAGCTCAATTATATGGCCATAATTTTTCTTATATAGAGACACCTAACTGCTCTTGTGGTGCGCCTGGAACACCCAAACATTTATTCTTTAATTGTCCAAATAAAGCACAAAATAGGAACACTTTTCTCCCACTTGTAGAGACTTACAAACCTTTAGCTATTAGGAACAAAAGTCAATTTATAGATTTCATGAAACATGGCAGTGACGCTCTATCGCTTGTACACAATAAGGATCATTTTGCACTTGTTGACAACTTCTTACTATAGAACTCATAATATGGTCATATTTTTCTTTTCTTTGGGTCCCTCCAATCAATTACTACCCATGCCTACCATTTCCCTCACTGAGACCATGACACATGATGCCTAGCCTGTCCTTCCTATACTTTACATGATTTGATTTTTTAGCTTCTATATTACATGCATTTACATTTGTAATTAAATATTATGTATTTTACGCTTAGCCTATAATGCTTTGTGCGATTGGCAAGCCATTCTTGTATAAAATGTATACGATGAAATAAATTAACAATGTATAAAAAAATATCCTATTTTTGATGTTATGAATATTGGCTATCAATTTTTGTAATTTCAGTATGAATAAAGCGTTCTTTGAATTGGTGATGTGGTCTCGGATTGTAATAATGGTCCTTAGATGGTGGGGAGGGGGTATTAGATATTGTTTCTTATACCATCACCCTATGCAGACAGAGCCTGTGGGAAATATTGGGTGCGGCGCAAATGAGCGGAGGGTGCGCGCTAACGGTCATTTTTGAATTTAAAATTGGGATATTTCTGAAACTAAGCCGTTTTGGGACTTCAAATATACCAAGATATGTGTATTTGACACCAAATATCAATAAAACTGTGAAAATAGTAGTGCAATTCATTTTATAGCGACGCAGTATGCCTTAAACATTTCCCAGACCTATATATTTTGAGACTATCCTTTTAATACTGCGTCCCCAGCATTCATAAAAAATGGTGTTCAAGATACACTACCCATGCAAAATATTTTTGCATCTTGGAAGCCAGGCAGTATCTGAGTGATTTTATAAAAATTCGGAAATGTTCTTCAGATATGAGCCCCCTCTAAATATTGGGTGCGGAGGTACGTTTATATACGTTTGATATATTAAGTCCCAAAACGGCTTAGTTTCAGATATATCCCAAATTTAAATTCAAAAATGACCGTTAGCTCCGCACCCTCTGCTCATTTGCTCCGCACCCAATATTTCCCACAGGCTCTGTCTGCATAGGGTGGATTAGTTCATCGGAACGTTGGGATATTTATTAATCACATATTGTTGAATAATCTAGCCAACCAGATATAACAAAGCATTCACAATGAACATTTCAAATATATTTTATTAAAAATAGCGATAATATTTTGAACACATGCTTTAATAGATGCTTCGTTATATGTGAATAAAAGAAATGTGTAAATACGATATCTATCTTTTATATAAAGTTTTCAATCGTTAGAGGACATTTAAAGCAAAACCTCGAAGCAATTGTGACACAGACGCAGATTATACACTTTTGGTAGATTATACGTATATGTCATTCTGATACTCATAGCATCTTTCTGTTTCACCTGAAACACCCCATGGCTGAGAAGAAATGAGATGTCATGGTTTATCATGATGCGTATATGTACTTGTTGGATGATCTATCCTTAGAAATCTAGCTATTTACAACTATAAATCATCACATCCTGTCATCTCAGTAAACAAGATATGGGACATTTACTTATTAATATCCATCTGTTCCACAAATCCTTCTATAGTCACACGCTGCTTCTAAAGTGCCATTTATCATAGCTATACCTTGTATCATGCCCATAAAATCATACTCCTTTCTTATGCTATGACCGATACTGGATAAACCTCGTAAGATATTCTAAAATACAATGTAATTTAATTTTCGATTGTTTACATAGTGGTTTTTAAGAAATTATTGTTTTTAGAAATATTCTTTCAAGATGATGAATTGTCTGTTCGGAATTTAGCTGCGCTTTTAATTTTTAATAATAATTATACTACATTATATATATCGCACGCAGTCGAAAATACTTACTTTTGGAAAATCACCGAATTGAATGATTGTGTTCGGCAGAAGCTGATGGTGTAATCTTGGGTTATATATGGCAGTTTGTATATCTTCACCAAGCCATAAATGCCGGACGGCCACCTAAGGAAGAATCTAACATAAAGAATGGTCATGATGGTATAAGCTGCTTAGGTAAACACAATTATGATCTTTTAGAAGTTGTATTCTTTTTTTATTTTTGCCTGGTTCTATACGGGGCAAGAAATTAGACAATATGTTTCAAGATTCCTTAAAATATTTAAACTTCAGCTAGTTAATGTTGTGTATAAGCTATGCACAAGGCATAATTCATAAGACATGTTTACAAGAGAACATTGTGGCGTATCTTGAACATTTTGATATAATACAAAACAAGAGTCACGTTTAAAAAATGTCAATAGAAACATACATATGCTGTGGATGTAGGTATTCTAGATCCCCCAATACCACCTAGCACAAGTTTAACTTTGTTAGTAGTAGAATTCAAAATGATCACTGGTACCATCGACGATAATGGGCGTTTTCCAGGTTTTATAAAATTGGCAGGAGATGCAACAAAGCCATGTAAATTCTTTGTGAAAGGAGTAGAGAAGTCGTCCATCTCGTTATTGTAAACAATCCCAGTCGTATTTCCCACTAAGCCAGAGCCAAATCTTTAAAGTAAGACATAGGGAAAAACAATCATCTAAATTGTCTCTATTTAAGAAAATGTTGGGGTCATATCATGTCAGTTTTCCTAAAAGTCTCCACAGTGAATAGTTTATTAGAGGAAAACTAAAAATCTTTTACAATAATATGTTCACTTCTCTAGATTATATTTTCTCATATGACTAACAAAGATACAGCCATCTTTACCCCATGCAAGATATAGAGGTTCTTATATGAGTACCTGTGCAAGATCGTCCATTCTTGATGAGCTTTGATGATTCTTTTCGACGAGATAAAGAAACATTATCAAAGCGAGTCAAGAATGGACGATCTTGCACAGGTACGAGTACAAGAAAGTTTTTCTCATATGACTCTGTATTATGCCATTATTTCAAGATTTTATCATAAAACTTAGTGAAAAACAGCTTCAAATTAATTGAACTTTATCTTTCAATTGTTATGACGTCATAACGATATTGAAGAAAATACATAGATACAAGTGGCAACAAAGCTCCATTGTTATGACGTCACAGCTTGGTTTTGTAGAATTAGCATGGATACTCATAGCAACGGTGTGTCCGTTGCCATGTTGTTGATGTTTATAGAGCAGTGATGTCACAAGTAAATCTCATCTTGCACGTGTGACTTTTTAGGATGAAAGATGACAATATCTTGCATGGGGTAAAGATGACTGTATCTTTGTTAGTCATATGGCTAACATATGGCTTTGTTGCCACGTGTATCTATGTATTTTCTTCAATATTGTTATGACGTCATTACAATTGAAAGATGAAGATCAATTAATTTGAAACTATTTTTCACTCAGTTTTATGATAAAATGGTGAAAATATGGCATAATACAGAGTCATATGAGAAAAACTTTCTTGTACTCGTACCTGTGCAAGATCGTCCATTCTTGACTCGCTTTGATAATGTTTCTTTATCTCGTCTTCGACTCGATAAAAAAATAATCGAAAAAAAGGTATGATGATAATGTCACTTACAAATATTTATTGCAGGTTGTGTAGACCGTTGATGCTTGATTTAAAGCAAAAACATTGACTTTTGCACGTTGGTGGCGTTGTGCCTTTTTTAATAGATCTTATACCTAAGAAGAGAATCGGCTAAAAAAAAGTCGTAGAATACGTGACATATTTTACCATTACCGTGCGCCTATTCGTTTAGCAATTAAATCATAAACCTTTTCTTGAAAAAATAATTTTTGCAGATTTGTTCATTTTCTACCAGAAATTGCTTGCTCCCCCCCCTCCGTCCCATTTTCACGATCACCGGGCGCGACTATTATGATAGATAAACAAAATAAATAATATAAATAATGGTAAAAACGCAAAATAACACACTGGAAAATGGCAACCATTTTCGAAAAGGCCGCTTACTAATCAAAATGTCATTGGAAAGTGTAATATGCTTAAATAAGTATTCACATACTTTCAACATAATCACTGTACATCAGTATGCACCAAACGGAGATATATGTCACGATATAGGGTAGAGATTTTTTGGTTTTTATTTTGATGGATATATGTCACGATATAGGGTAGAGATTTTTGGGTTTTTATTTTGTGCTACTTTTGGACTTAGTATAAAATTTGAAATGACCGTCATCAGGGACAGATTAAAAAATTTAGAACAGGTTCTATCAAAAGAGATAACGCATAGCATAAAATGGACCCTCTTTCAAAACTAACACAAATGGCTAAAGGTAGCAGCTAAAAGATCGATACACTATCGATATATTTTCATACCTTTTTTTAAAAACCAACACAAATGGCCAAAAGTAGCACTTTTCCAGAAAATAAACAGAGTCCAGCCTATCGATATATTTTCATACCTTTTTTCAAAACCAACACATATGGCCAAAAGTAGCACTTTTCCAGAGAATAGAGTCCAGCCTTCAGTATATATCGATTTTCTTTCCTTTTTTAAAAACCAACACAAATGGCCAAAAGTAACACTTTCCAGAAAATATTTCACGATGGTAAGTGCCCAGAAGCAAATAGTTCATGTGTGCAAAATATGCAAATAATCTGATTGGTTTTAACTTATGTGCGCATACGCCCGACGTGTGCCGTGTTTTTTCTTTTGATTTCGTTTCGTATTGTGAAACTGACACTAAAATGGTCACCATTTTGAAACAGGCGGCCACTTTGAAAATCGACTTTCGAGCAGAACTTGCACGCGAATATGGCATATACGTACACGATATAAACGATCTTGGGCCAACGATATTTGAGTTATTATTTACTGTGCGGACAGACGTGCAGACGTACAGACGTATTACGTACGGATGGAGCTGTTCTGTATATCCCCCCCCCGAACTTCTTTCGACACCCTTTCCGATGTACATACGACAAAATAAATTGATATTACGCACGGAAAATTGAGGGATGAGGTGAAGGCTGCTATGCCACCATTTTCATCAACTATAGAAGTATGAACAGTTCCTTTAGTGAGTCTGTCATAGAATGTTTCTCCATAGTACGAAGGATGAAAGGTCTTGTCATCGAATATCCTAGCTCTGGTTTGTGCGGCAGTTGTCTGAGACAGCATTTCACGAAGAATCTGAATAATCAATTAATGAAAAGTATTAATATGTAGATGTTTATATGGACAATATATTTAATAACATATTTCTCCATATATAGTAGGAAGCATTATGGTCTGGTCTTTGAACATTAGTTAGGGTTTGTGCAGCAGTTTTTTGTGCTAGCATTTCAGGAAGAATCTGAATACTAGTAATCGGTTTGTGGAAAAAATAATTAATTGTTGATATAATGGGCAGTTCCTTGTGTGAGATGTCTGTCCATAATACGCATTATTTTACATTTATGTTGGTCAAGGCATAGATTGTAGTACCAGATTGACATATTACAAAATCTGTCTTACACAAAGATATGTTATGTTTGGTGTTAACACTGTTGAAATTTATAATTCTGATTACAATTGAACCGTTGGAAGTGTATTTTAGAAACACCCAATAATTTTGGAATAACTTTCTCAATAATTAAGGAATCCACGTGATTTGTTTTTGAAGATAGAGTGTTCAATGGAAAAAAGATTGTTGTACAGGGTGACATAGCCTTGCCCAAGTCGGTATTTTTTACTTATCTGATCTTGAATTATTACCGGCGGTCATAATAGAAATCAGATAGTAAAAGAGACCGACTTGGGCAAGGCTAAGGGTGACAAAAAAAACTGGAACCCACTTAAGTCTTAATAACGTCGTCAATTATGCATATTGAGCTTAGTTATTTAGTACATGTATAGTCAACTGAATGTATGACAAGATGTTAAAGTTTTAGCATTCTAGCTAAATAAGTCTTCAAATGAGGCACGATTAGATAATGTGCTCCAAATGTGCACCACCACGTTGGATGCAGAGCTGGATTCTTCTTGCAAAATGGTCAATGACCCGACTGCATTCATCTCTGTCTATCTCTCTAATTAGTCTTCCAATGTTGAGTTTGAGGTCATCAATGGTCAGTGGACTATCTGTATACACATTATCCTAGAGATACCCCCACAAATAAAATTGTGGGGGTTCAAATCAGGGGAGTGGGGGGGGGCAGATGTGGCGGGTATGGTGACTGATTAATCAATCACCAAAGTGAGCCTGAAGCCATTGAATGGACACATTTGAGGTATGGGGAGTGGCACCATCTTGTTGGAACCATTGCTGGTCCCTTCTCAAGTCACATCGTCTACCCAGCGCTCTCCAAAACTTTTGAACGTTAGGGATATAACGTTCTGAGTTGACTGTTGAGTTGTCTTGAGTTCTGACAGACCTCTCTCTCCCCGCATAGGTTGGTTTACCATCACTTTTCTTCTTTGTTGGTTTTACAGTTCCTTCTGCTTCAAACTTCTGCACAAGCCTAAAGATCTGTGACTTGCAAGGGGCTCTTCTTGCCCTGTGATCTCTCCTATAGGCAGTTTGTGTCTCTTTATAAGATTTTGTCTCGATATACTTTCTCACAATATAAGTCTTTTCTTCTGTCGTCCATTGCATGATTAATATCTAAGCTACAGTACTCATTATGGTGTCATTTTGTCATGCATTCAGTCTAGTTTCTACCCTGAAGAAATGAAGAATGTAGGTATAATACTTTTCAAGAAATTTGATGATTTATGGGTTCCAGTTTTTTTGTCACCCTGTACTTGGATAGCATCAATAACCTTCAGATTTAGAGATATCACATTTTCCGTCCAGGTATGCTCTCAGTGAAAACATCAAAATATGTTCAAAAATGCAATTTTCTTAAATCTAGATCTCTGTTTCTGCCATAATTTAGGTCATTACTGGATTGCTTTCATTACTTTACACATATATTATCAATATTTAGAGGTTATGTCACTATCGTTGCATATATGCCCGAGGGTTTCAGTGATATATGGCCCGACCTTGGGATGGGCATTGATCACTGAGAACCGAGGGCATATGTGCAACTATAGTGACATAAACGATTTATAACATACCTATGATGATCTAGCCTGGGCAGATCGTTTTCTTATCTTATTGACTAGCAATGGTTCGGAAATGATGATTTATTCCCAAGTTTGTATCTTACGAATGTACGAGTTAATTTGACCTAGACCTAATGTATGACGTAGTCCCAGCGCTTGGCCAATCAGAAAGTTAGCGAGCGCGGGCTTTTCAAAAGTTATATTGGCCCGCTGTCTTGTGAACAGTTTACACTATACATCATCATAGGTATATTATAATATGTCATATTACCAATTTTTCTTAAATGACTTTGTCAAATTTGATTCGCTTATTGTTTTTTGTAAGAAAGACAGATTTTCATATGAGTGATTTTGTGTCAGAGCATACCTACACGGAAAACGAGATTTCTCTTAATTCTCAAGTTGTTGATGGTATCCAAGCATACCAATCTTTTGTCCATTGAACACTATATCTTAACATATAAATCATGAAGATTTCTTAATTATTGAGAGCGTCTCTAAAAAATCAGTACAAGAGGGGGATTTTTTGTCATGCTGTATAATGTGCGAGGCTTACATATTTTTGGTCAACATATTCCTCATCGCCTAATTTGGCTCGTTTTGCATATGCCCATTTAAAACTCTCTATGAGACGATGATGACAAGTAACAGATCTAGAGTCACTTTCAAAGTCAATTTTAGAGCAGTCGGTGCTGTTAAAGTTATATCCATCTAAAATATTCAGTATATATTGCAAGACGGCACTACTTGATGGTGGAGGGATACCATACACACTGAGATCTCCATTTTCGAGATGTGTCACCAATGGATCTTTTACAATGGCATTGTAGCTTTTCAAATCTTGCTCTGTTATAATTCCACCTTGAAAGATATAGGAAGAAATTATTGATAAAGGTAAGAACGTTTGTGTCTCAATAACCAGAACAATTTAATTAATTTGCTATATATACATTATTCCCTTTTGATATTATACTTCATTATATCACTGGAATATTCTTCACTCTCTGATTGATTTATGTCCTACACGTGACTTGGAGATATTCCCTGATTAGGCATGTGACTGAGGAATATTTAATTCACTTTCTAGTGAATACCTGTACATATTTCACAGGTTCAATACTCCCCTTGGACTATTGGTGTCAATTAACCGCTTGAGCATTAACCGGTTAACTGGGTTTTTTTACCGGTTAAAGTAGGTTAACCGGCGGGAAATTTGAACTGATAATTTCAAATGAAATCTTCATCTTCGATCTTGAAAGTTGAAAAAAATTGGAAAAATGATATATCGGCGTTTATTTTTTACGTTCGTCAAGCTTTACTCTATTCTATGTACGTAAGCGCGGGAAAGCAATGTGGCAGGGATTAAAGTTGCTGATTGGATGTTTGTAAGGAGTTATCGGACTTATGACATGTATGAGTAGCTTACGTGAAACTGACACCATAAAACCAAACGGATTAGCATGCAAAATAAGCGCGGAAAATAACAGAATTATACACGGTCAACTAACCGCCCATAAAAACACAGACCGTTCAAGGCATTATCGGCGGTTAACCGGTTAACCGGTTAATACTTGACACCTCTACCTTGGACCCAGGAGTTTGGGCAATAATGCTTGTGAGTGATGCGCAGGTATTCATCTCAATAGAATTGAATATTCTTATAAAATTCATACTAAATACCCATTTTCTGGATTTCGTTTGCAATTGTTCTATCCAAGCTTAATGGGTCAGTAGCTATTTGCTGTAAAGTTGCTCCATATTTTGGTCTAAACATTATGTCTCTTGCTTTATAAGGTCTTCCTTCAGCTTTGTTATGAAAAGGTGCTCTAACAATAAAGAAAAAACATGCGCATTGACAAAGACTAAAAGAACCATTTATGCGTATGTTCACTAGATAACGGCAACGCCAAGGTGTAGTAAATCCTTTATAGCAAATTAATATTTTTCAAATGATCACCTTATATTATGGTATTATATGAACACAATAAATGAACAGGAAATGACAACATAACGACCAAGACTCGGAACATATTTCGTTCGTGGCCAACTGTGAAATATTCACTCCAATCATGTTGTATATTCAAAATGTACCTTAGAAATCATATGCACACTCGTAAACATGTCACACGTGAACTATTTTTAACATGCATTGCTATTTTGTAATTAAAGTGAGCATTTTACATATCAATGTTATTTTGAATGAGTTGCACATAGTTGAATGTAGTAAAGATCTAAAGTCATCAAGTACGTACTTCTTTGAAGGATATTTTTATTCACTTACACCTGTGGATATTCTTTTCTAGCATTTTGAATCAATTCAATGACAAATCCTATATCTTTTTCCAATTCGTCTGTAACGACGATACCTTCTTTGCATAGTTTTATGGACGGTGTCAGGAGGTCAAACCATTTCACTTGCTCAGATCCGAACTTTGTAAATGCTGTCCATAGCCCTCGTACAAGGCTTGGTACTGCTATCGACAATGGACCTGAAATGAAGTGATTCAAACATATTCTTATTGACTTTTACGTCCTTCTCCTACCTTAACATTATTGATGAAACATTAGTTGCAATGGATAAATGGCAATAAGCCATGTACATGTCAGGTGACTTAAAGGAACAAAATGCGTAAATGAAGTCTCAGTTTTGATCTTCATAGTATTTCCAATGGATTATTAATTACCTGATCTTTTATTTGACACCAAAAAGACCTCAAACAGATCACATCAGAGTTGACACTAGATCATGAAAAAATATTTTCGATCTATCAATTTATATATTTCAAGTTTTTAGCAATGCCATTGAAAGATGGTATTGTTGTTTGCATTAATTATCCATTCATTTTTGATAGGAATTTCAACCATACGCCATCTTTTAATCCAAGAGTTATTTAAAACATACACTAAAGTGAAAAATGGCAATTTACTTGTTTTGATCTCTGAAATTCAAATGCTGTTTTCTATGCAAGTGATTTTTTCACTCCAGTATTGACCCAAATTAAAGTTTTCATCATATTTGATTGAGTGTGTGGGTAACATGTCTCAAATAATATTTTGTCCCCTTGCCTTCAAAAATAGGCACATTGCCTGTTTAATTAGCATTTCGTCTATTGTCCTAAAGAAATATGTTCATGTTCCTTCATATTTCTTTATCTTTTAATTTACATTTCCCATACACTTTCCATTTTGACTTTTGTTTGTTCTTATATCAATGAAACTTGCACTTGGGTGATTGAGGCTACAGAGATTCCTATGGGGTTTTATTAGCCTGTCAAATAGTAAAATTTTGGCTTTTACCTAATTTCGAATCGTCCATCCTCCCAACGAACATCGTTTTATTTGCTAGAAGCGGTGCAGTCTCTCTACCATCTATTGCTTTCACAACGCCGCTTTTTGAGTCCCTTAGTAACATGAACAAACCACCTGGGCGTCGAAGAAGTGTTAAAGTTCATTTGATGGAGCGATAGTCACGGATGCGTGAAAATATGGCATATTGAACACTGATTTGTATGTGCAATCTATTTCTGTATTACACTCCTCTCCATAAGTTTGACAACTTTTTTGCCCATATGTTTATGTGTTAAAGCCTCTCTATGTTTGTATTTTTATTGGCATTGCCTGCAAAAACTAATAATACACGAGGAGATGTAACTTGACTTTATTTCCTATACCTCCATATTTTCTAGATTTTTTCTCAATATAATAGGTCGAAAATTGATGAAAAATTTGATTGATATGTGAAAATCGCCATTCCAATGTAAACAACCTTCAAGGGGAGTCAATCAACGATGTTCCCCATCGGCATACCTTTTCACAATAGTAGCGGAAATACTGGGTATATCTATTAGACAAAATAACGATATTGAAGAGATTGAAATTTCAATGTTTGACGATGATACAACATTTTTCTTGAACTCCATAGCATCAACCGACAAAGCCCTCAAACAATAAAAACAGAAGGTAGATGGTTAGTTTGGTTTACACAAAAATACCGATTTTCAAAAAGTCATCAAATTTGTCATCAATTTTCAACCCATTGTAATTGAGAAAAGAATTTAAAAAATGGAGGTAAATAAAGTCATCTACATCTCTGCCTTCATTATCAGTTTTTCTCATTGCAGGTAATGAAGATAAAAATACAAACATAGAGGAGCTTTAACACTTAAGCCTATGAGGAAAGGGTTGCCAAACCTATTGAGGAAGTGTAAATTTAAACATCTGTAAAGCTACGCCACTCACAAATAGATGCATACAAATAAAGAGAGATTAAAAAGACGTAGCAGCACTTTATTAAACATTATGTCGAAAGTCCTGTAATCATTGCAGGATGTTACGATTTCCTATATTCTGGGTGACGATGGGCGTCGTTCTGCAGGGGGATGAGCTGTGGTGGCTAGCCCTTAAGTTATGGTTTGAGAAAGTCAGGACCAATAAATGATATTGAGCTCTTCTTACGGGCGCAAGCTTATAAAATTTCATTGTCTATGATATCACTTCTTGTGTGAAATGGGCAATTAACACTTCTAAATGCTATTCTAAATGATAAGTATTGACCATATCAAGTGTTTTGCTAAGTCTGTAAGTATGAATAGTAAAAATATTTTTAAAGGTATCCTATATACACAGGCTAGTATCGAAAGATTTGTCCGCTGTGACGGAGCATGCTATTTTTCATAAAAACACTAAGAATGCTTCACGATTTATTTTTTAACTCATATGTTTCATTATATCGAAGATAATTACTTACTCCATGCAATGGATATATCGTTTGCGTGTAACCTTCACTTCTGTTTGAAGTCCAATAACGCTAGGAGTAAAATCTATTGAAAACGGCGTCAGAGTATCAAACTCTAAAATGTACCATTTCTTTTTTAACTTTGTAATGGCATGGTATAGTGACACGATAATATTAACATATGTTTTCAGCATAACTCTGAATGAATTAATGAGATATTAATGCATTGGGTCTTTTTAATTTTTTTATAAAAAATATGAATATTTTTTGTCCGCTGTGACGGAGCATTTTCACAGTTCACATTTGCAACTGCTCCGTTACAGCGGACAAAAAAATTAAACATTATTTTTTATTAAAGAATTAAAAAGACCAATTACATCAACATCTCATTTATACCTTCATAGTTATGCTGAAACCATGTGTAAATATTATCGTGTCACTATATCGTGCCACTAGAAAGTTAAACAAGAAATGGTACATTTTGAAGTATGATACTCCGGCGCCATTTTCAATAGTTTTTCTTCCCAGCGTAATTGGACTTCAAACAGAAGTGAAAGTTACCCGCAAATGATATATCCATTGCATGGAGTAAGTAATTTTGTATGGTATAACGAAACATATGAGTTAAAAAATAAATCGTGAAGTATTCTTAGTGTTTATATGAAAAATAGCATGCTCCGTCACAGCGGACAAATATTTCGATACCAGCCTGTGATATAGAGAGAAATGGACTTGCAATAATATACCAATAGTTTGGATGCTGGCTGAAATCATACGTACCACCAACCCCAGTTAGTTGGGGTTTAACAACACCCATACAAAAGGTTGTAGCGATGGCAGCATCAACAGCATTACCACCTTTCTTCAATATGTTTCTGAAACACGCAATTGGCAGTTTTATAGCCCAAATAGATAATAGTCATGAAAGCAGATGCAATATTAAGGAAAAATGACAGTAAATGAGTTTATTTGCCCATTGATGTATCCCATTAAACTCCTATCAGTCTCCAACTCTTGCACAGTTCAAGGCTCACGGTCAAAATTACATTCGCAGAATTAGACTTATCAGATACTACCCTTTACATTCGTTCGACTTCACTTCTTAAAAGAGAGCTTCGTCTTTCAGTTTGCAATAAATCTCTGATCTCACCGAGGCAATCAGAATTTGTCATCGAAATACGGACGACTTTCTATATGGTCATTTCCTATGGCATCACCGCATAATTAATGAGCACGTATTTAGCACGGGTTCCTTCCACTTCGCTGATTGGTTGAGAAAGGGTCAGCGTGGTAAATTTGGAATGATTTATTACCCGGGCGTTCACTGGCATCTATCTTTGAGGCGGGGCTGCTATACTGTAATATAGTCTATACTAGGCAGAGGATAGTTTATGACTAGACTCTGCGCGCAGGGTAATCAGATACGAGGATTATGGTATTCCGAAGAGACATAAAATGACCGATATGATCCCGAGGATTATACCGAAGTTTGTCATAAGACAAAATAGATGGCACTTATCTATTGATATTCAATACAATCATAATGAAGAAATATATTTAGCAACAGCTTTTTATTTATCATTAAATCGTTGATGAAATGACAAATACTGTAGGACCCGAGGGCACCCTAGGGGAATGACTAATTATACTGAGCATAGTGTACGCCAGATACAGGAAATGTAAGAAAGTATGCTACATGTAAATCTAAGCTCCGTGTGGGAATCGAACCCACAACCCTTATATCCAAAACTGATGCTCTACCAACTATTATAAGATTAAGCCACTACAACTGGGCTGTAGTAGCAACTTGCTAGGTTACACTACCCCCCCCCCCTTTGAAAGGACCACGCCATCGTAGTCAGCTCTGCTTTCCAAAGGGTAACTTAACACGCAAGCACGCACGCACGCACGCACGCACACACACACACATACAAGTGCAAATGATACAACAAATAAATACTTTGATCCCACGCCTGACACCAATGTAATAACCCGAGGGCACCCAGACAAATGCCTAACGGGGAGTCTGGAGTCGAACCCAGGACTCTTAAATTCGAAGACTGATGCTCTACCAACTGAGCTATAAACTACAAGGCTTAAAAGGGCAATAAACCTGAATTTCGATGTTGACACATTTTCACAAATCTGGTCACTTTTCTCCAATTTCACATTGATTGAGAAAATGTGTTGCCTGTAATACTGCAATGCTGGTCCTTCAATGTTTTGATGTTCATATTCACGGTTACGTCAAGACGATTTGCAAAATTTTGCGGTAACGATAACAAAAAATGGCGGATGGGAAAGACAGCATGTCCTCTTTCTTGCCTGTGGGCAAGATTCACAGATAAGATTTCCTTTTCAACTAGTTCCATTCGGTGACCTATGTATGGATGGTTATAAAGACTGGGTCAAATCTGCCAGGTGGTTTACTAGAAGCAGCATAAACTGTAAACTTACCGACTGAGATATGAAAGTTCATAATTTTTAGTCCATTCTCGTGTTTTCTCAGTATATGTGCCTCAGAGCCACTCAAACTATTAACTGTAAGTAAACTATGTATGAACAAGCCATAAAATGACAGATCCAGAACAGGAACGTGGTGTATATTGTAAATAATAAGATTTCAAACGTTAGACGACTACGTATGAATTCTATGTACGGTAACGTATTGTATTAGTTGTACATAAGATATTTAGCGGACGGTTACGCGCATGTACTCCTTTTAAGTCATGGTTGCTAGTTCTGATAGCCTATTTCCATGGCATCGTTATAATGGGTAAGAAATGGAATATTGAATTGCTTATATTTGTTTTCAGGACTCGCGAGAGACGCTCTTGTTTGAGCATCTATAGGGCAAGGAAAAAATTGCTTTATTTATGAAACCAATGAAAGTCAAAAAGATAGCAATGAAGAGGCAAAAGAGAAATTAGCATCAAATACTGATGAATATGACAAAATTAATAACAATGAATCGGGGATACATATTTGAACGAGTTTCGTGTTACCGTCCATCAATTTTTTGCGTAACCGCAAATTCAAAATACATTATTATGGATTGAGTAGAACATATTAGATGGCTTCACCCCAAAATTGAGGTTATCGGTACCAAGTTAGGGGAATAAGCCTCATTGTGATTTTTGGCAAGGTAAATACCTCTAGAGTAAGAAATTATATGATAGCATTGCAGAAGTGGCAACTAAATGGGTGTTATCACCAATTTTTCAAAATGGCCACCGATGCGCTTGCTACCAAATAAAAGAAGTTATATCTAAGCATACTGAGAGACAAAAACAGTGATTTTGAGGTCTATTTAGGGGTCAAGGATTTTATTTAAGTCAAAATCTAAGTCATCAAAGAATTGGAAATCCAAGATGGCCGCCAAAATGGATGTCAAAACAAATATTTCACTATTGATATAAGCTCAAAGAACGTTTAAAAAGTGACTTTGGAGACCATGAAAAGGTTTAAAGAGGCTAGGGATTTTATTGGTGTCTAAATCTAAGTAATCAAAGAACTCCTTTACATAGAAATCCAAAATGGCCACCAAAAATGGGTGTCAAGATGAATACGTAACTATTTATGTAAACTCAAAAACAGTTAAAATGTGCTTTTGCAGACCATGGTAAGGTTTTAGAGGTTAAGGATTCCATTCATGTGTAAATTGAAGTGATTAAAGAATACCTTTATATAGAAATCTAAAATGGCTGCCAAAATGGCTGCAAAAATTAATTAATATGCACATAGAAAATGTTATAGATATCTGAGACTGGGTTTCAGGAGAAAGTGGTTTCAATTTACTAGCCTTTACCTAAGTTATCGTAACCTTTCGTCATATTAAAATCCAAAATGGTCACCAAACTGGCTGCCAAAATAAATATACATATACCTATATCTTTAAGCATTAATGAAGGATGTTGGATGGTCATTATGGTATCTTCCAAGGACAAGTGGTCGAGGTTCGTTCCAGTTGTCGTTTGTCCATCATCAGTAGCTCACCCTCATAAGATTTCTGGGTGTTAAGAATGATACCTGATTTCATTGGTCATTGCCATTGTTAAGAATAACATGTGATTTGATTGGTCATTACCACATTCACATGGAGCATGACTCAACCATCTAACCTGTTTCCTTTATTGCGATTTTGAAGTTCACAGGCTGCAGACCTAGTTCTCTCAACATGATGTTCCTAGAAGAACATTGGAAGCCTCTAAAGCCTACATGCACTGGAAAGTGTCTCACCGTCCACCCTTTACACCTTACTTTGTCAATGAGGTCTTCATACTCGGCACTCTTCAGTCCATCCGAGATATTATCTTCTGTGTAATTGTAGACTTGGATTGGGTTTGTTCTTTCTTTACAGAAACTGGATAAAAACTGGTTGTAAGGAATCTCTTTACATGTTAATCTCTTGCCATTTGGTGTCAACCCATTTGAAATGGCCCGCAGCACTTTATTATATCACCAGGCAATTGCAGAGTGCTTTAGATATGATCGAGGGAGCAATTATAGTTCGAAACATGCATTAGATTCCTCTTTTTCTCATATCTTGAGGTTTAAATGAGTTGCTTGAGGTGTTTGTTTTAGATTAATGGAACCAAATTTGCCTATCTACTCTCAGGAGACCTTTTGCAAGTCACCCCTTCTTGCTGTTGATGTTGCTTCCTCTCTTCAGCCTCTTCAACAGCCTGTTGTTATAATGGAATTTACAGAATTGGAAAAGTCATTGGAGAATAACACTAAACTGAAAGCATAAGACTTTGTATCAACTCCCTACATTGCTAAGGTCAATAGCTTTCATCCACTTTTCTAGTTCTCACATAAGCTGTTGTTGGGACCAATCAGAATATTTTGTCAAAATATTGCAAGAATTGCACATTAGCTTCCTTTGTTACCTTGCTCGCAGAGTCTAGTTAAACTCTTTTCAGAAGCGAAGTCGCACGAATGCAAAGGGTATTCATTTGTATACCACTCAGCTGAAAAGATTTTTGGGATTGCACTACATACATCCTATCTTCTCCAAGCAGCCTAAAATCCGTTATGCTCCAGGGAATGACTAGGTCATAACATTAATGATGTCCATAAAGGCTCGGCAAGAAGGATGTCTTGCATCATCATTCCCTTTGAGACCTCCATATTAGAACTCTTCTGCTTTCACAAACCAGTTCATCGTTTTGATGAAGAGAGTACAAATGAGATGGTACATCCCATCAGGGCCATCTTTGATATCCAAATGAGTATGTTCCAAAGTTAATTATTCACTTTGGCAGCCATTTTGGTTGCCATCCTGAATATCCAAATAAAAGAATTATTTGATCACTTGAAGTTCTCAACCATTGAAACCTAGCCATTGACTTAAAACTTTCGACCACTAAAACCTAGACACGGTCTCCAAAATCACTTTGTAACTGTTCATTGAGCTTATATTAATGGTAACTTATTCATTTTGGCAGCCATCTTGGATTTCCACATCAAGTTATTCTTTAAAAACTAAGACAATAAAATCATTGATCCCCAAACCCTTTCATGATCTACAAAAGTACATTTTATCTATTCTTTGAGCTTATATTAATAGTTACTTGTTCGTTTCGGCACCCATATTGGCGGCCATTTTGGTTTTCTATGAAAAGTAATTATTTGATTACTTAGACTAAAATGAAGCATAAGTGAAATCATTAGCCCCTAAACCTTTCATGATCTATAAAATTGCTCTTTATCTGTTCTTTGAGCATGTATCAATACATGTAGATACATATTCATTTTGGCACCTATTTTGGCGGCCATCTTGGATTTACATATAAGGTAATCCTTTGATGACTTAGATTTAGACATGAATAAAATCTTTAGACTTGAAAACCTCTTCTAAAACTCTTTAAAATCATTTTGAAACGTTTTTAGCTTGTATTATTAGTTACATATTTGTTTTTGAACCAAAATTGGCGGCCATCTTGGATTTTCATATGAATTAATGTTTTGATGACTTGGATTTAGGCATAAATCGAATCAGTGACCCCTAAAACCACCCAGAATTAGACCCTAAAAATACTGATTTTGCCTCTCAGTATGCTTAGATATAACTTCTTTCATTTGGTAGCAAGTGCACCGGCGGCCATTTTGAAAAATGGGTGATAACACCCATTGAGCTGCCACTTCTGCAATGCTATCACATATTTTCTTACTCTAGGGGTGTACACCTTCCCAAATATCACCATGGCCATTATTCCCCTGATTTGGTACCGACCAACCCCCCCCCCAGGCTGATCGCCTAAATGCTCAATTGGCTTTTTATGATCGAGGTCGTAAGGCAATGTATACCATGCCCTAACGACAAAAATAAATAAATTACTAAATTTTGTGTAGTTTTGAATTTCAAACTCAACAGTTTTTTGCTTATTTCATGTTATCCTCGGGCATCAATTTGCAAAGACTACATTCAAAATATACATTACTATATAAACATAATATAGCGTCATAACTGCTTCATTATTCGTTTGGAATAAATTCCCTTATACGAATATTAATGTAACATTTACAAATAAAATTCCCAAATTACAAATACAAATATGATGTATCAAATAAACAAACAGATACTAAATTCGGGTGCATTTTATGTTTGTAAGGACTAGAAATATTTGTAACTAACAATTTATCATTTGCCAACTACAGCTTACAATTCGTAAATTTCCCCAAAATTGCCTGTTATTTTATCGAAGAGATGTATTTTTACCAATAATAATCTTGCATATTACCAATGAATTGTTGCAGAAAGCAAAGGAATATTCGTACATAAGCGAATGATAAAATGAAACTTTACGAATATAAATGTGAGTTTACGAATACAAATGTGAATAAACGAATATAAACTGCAAGTCTCGAGGATAAGGTCACGTGACATGACATGTGTGGGGGAGGGGGTGATGACTTTGACCATGGGTTGACCATGTCTCGTTGAGAATGATCACGTGAATTTAATAAACCAATGAAAAACGAATATAAAAGTGCAATTCACAAATACAAATGACAATATTTACGAACAATAAATGTGCACTTTTACGAAAACATATTACCTTCTTACGAAAATAAATTCGACAATTAAAAAATAGAAATGCCAACTTATTCATTGATAAATTCGACATTCAGTTCTTAGATATCAAATTAATATATTTGTAGAAACAATGATAAAGGTACAAAATGAACTCATTTTATTTGTATACGGATAAACAATGTGTCACTAACAAATGCGTTTAAGGACTTTTGAATGTAATTCAGTATAAAACACATACATATACGTTTTAACGAAACAAAATAGATTAACGAACAGAACAGGCAAACAATGAATGAAAATGCTCAAGTTACGAACATAAATGTGCATTTTACAAGTACAGAAGTATAATTTACGAATACATATAGTAAAATACGAATAATGAAGCAGAAAACATTCCTATAAATACATCACCGAATTCGATGCTTACAAAAAATCGTTCATCCTTTCATTGATACGTCACAGTAGTAGAAAATAAGACAGGGTGATATTCAGCAGTTAGTTTTTAACGTTATCAATTTGTTAGGTTGTACGAGAACATTTAAAACAGTAATACTATTATTTCAAATTTAAAAGTCCTAAGCTTCAAGCCAATCAAAATAGAGTATTCAGCAATGCTGTTAAATAAACTTATTAATTGTGACTTTCTGTACCATATTAAGGATGTAACCTGATATTTTAATGGGTGTTTTGATACACTGAAAAAGCAGCAAATTAAAGTAAATACATTTAGTTTTTCCATTGGAGTTAGTTTGGCCCAGATCTACTGCATTTCAGATTCAGGGAGTAGATAACTGGTTCAGACTGGTTTGGTTAACGCCTCATAAGTTATACGTTAAACTGTAATATTAAACATGCTATGAGTTTCGAAATCTCTCTATAACCTCCTCATTCTTACTCCTTTTTTTATATCGTAATCGGTATCGTTATGCGTTGTAATTTCTTTTCAAATAGTCTGACTGTTCTACATGAGATAAATGATATTTCATATTTTTATGACTTTTTGAGATGATCAATGTAATAAAATAGTACCGTGGGTACTGGGCTCACATGGTGTTGCTCAAAGTGAATGATTGCTAAAATGACAGAAAAAACTGATATAGTTTTTTGCTGATTTTTTGTAACAAAATTATTTCAAGCCACTTGCCACTATTTTGGACTGACTGAGAGATAGATGGAAAAATCAATGTCCAGTTGAATGGCTGAAAAAAAACAGATTTAATTTTTGCCAATTATTGGTAAGAAAATTATTTCATACAACTACTCTTTATATACAGTGACATGGCTTTTTTTGCAATGCAGGACACATTTGTAAAGCTAGAAATGGGCAAAAACTGAATTCGTTTTAAGGCAAATGGTCCAAAAGAGGATTTCGCGAGACAATTGGACAAATCAATGTTAACTAAAATAGCTGAAAATAAAAGAACGGATATAATTTTTTTGCCGATTTTTGTAACAAAATTATTTCATACAATTACTATTTACAGTGACCTGGCTTTTTACAATGCAGGACAGCTGAAATTATTTGTAAAGCTAGGAAATGGGCCACAAGTGAATTTCGCGAGACAAGAATGGCGACCATTTTGAAAAAGGCGAGTCTGAACCAAGAGTCATAGGGAAGTTTTTTGTATTGATGTTGAACAAAGTTAACTTAAAACGGGAATCCTATCGACAGAGGTTTCAAGGCAAATGGTCCAAAAGTGGATTTTGCGAGACAGATGGACAAATCAATGTTAACTAAAATGGCTGAAAATAAAAAAATGGATATAATTTTTTGCTGATTTTTTAACAAAATTATTTCATACAACTACTCTATACATTGGCATTGATTTTTACAATGTAGGGCACCTGAAATTATTTGTAAAGCTTATAAATGGGCCAAACGTGAGTTTCGCGAGACAAAAATGGCGGCCATTTTGAAAATAGGAGAGCTTTTGCACCAGGAGTCATAGGGGAGTTTTCTGTATTGATGTTGAACAGAACTAACTTAAAACAGGAATCCTATCGACGGAGGTTTTAAAACGTGCCACTATTGTTGACGGACGGGCGCATAGACAGACAGACGGACAAGTGAGTGATTGCAAATCTCAACATGTGAGCTAAAAAGGTTTACGTATGTAAAAAGCTACTCACCGACCCACCGTTGAACATTCATCCACATCAGATGTCACAGCAGCGTGTTTATACCTTTGTGGATCAGAGGTCGCTGGTCTAGTTGGTCGTGGATATGTGAATCCTTTTAGAATCCCTGTATTACCTGTATTACCCGTATCAACATGTGCTGTCATGCTTATATTGTTTTCTAGTGTCATCCATGTTGCTATGGTGGCCGACCAGATTGAGATTCCAGTTATCAGCAGAATAATGCCAATCACTAATACCAAAACAAACATCAACGAAGTGTGGCTCCTGCATTAATAATGTACATATATAAGATTATTTTATCTCATATCATGATAATACTGCACAGAAGTTATCAATTATCATTCTGATTCACAATCAGACCGTATATTTTCTTCAACTTATGTGATGTTGAATTAACGATTAATATTCATGATAAGTATACACTTTTTTCAATAATTAAGCATTTTATGACTTACTTTCTGTTTGTAGACATGCTGTATCATCTCATTTACGCCGTAGAATAACAAGCCGTGTTCGGGATAAAGTATGTTGAAATGCGAAGTATATTATGATTTGATAGGACCCATATATCATCCCAGACATACAAATAATATAAACGACAGTTTTAAAAAATAAATTATTACTATTTCACAAGTAGTAATAAAACAGCACTCTCATGCAAAATCCGCAGATTCTGATAAAAAGTCATAAGATTTTGGAAAAAAAATCAAAACAAAGGATCAATCTTGTAATCACATCCATTCAGCTTATTCGTGTTAGGATAATCAGCTAGCGAGCGGAATGTGTTTCACATCATCTGTGTGTTTTTGAATACTTACGTTTGTCTCAACTGTGTGCCAATTTATGAAGAAATGTGAGATAAGCTGCCGTCAGCCATGCGTGAATAGACCATAAACACGCTGTTATACCATGACGGTTACGTCGAGCCGATTCGCAAAACTTTGTGGTAACAATAACAAAAATGGCGGATGGGAAAGAGAGAACGTCCTCTTTCTCCCCTGTAGGTGATCTATGTATGGATGGAAAAAACAAAGTTTTGTTTTGTTTGTGGTGATACAAAACCAGATTACAGCACATACAGAGCATCGATTGCGTTGATATTTTCCAAACTACATAAAAATATGTTTGACATCAGCTCTTAAAAGGGCGATGTTAGATGTGTGTTACCCATACAATGAAATACTTTCTATAAGTTCTATGCATATACCATTTGTCTTATATTGTGCATCCTCCAACACACTGTTTAAATTAACATTGCTGATGCATCATTTGTTTAAGATTTCGCGAGAAAATGCCATCAAGGGTTACCTCTTAAATGACAGACAATGAAAACATCAGACAAGATATTGTTATTTTTGTGGTGGATTTATGTTTTGCTGTCCAATATTTTGTATTCTCAAAACATTAAGATTTCATCAAAGCACATAAATGATTTCAAAAAATTATTTTCAGAAATGAGACTAATTCAATTTAGAATTTAAATGATTGTTATATAAAATCTCAATTTTATCGAAATTTTGCTAAATTGAATATGTTGAGCATGTGTTGGAGGATACAAAACATATGGACATTATAAATCGTGTTATTTTTAATGAGTACTACATACCAAACAACCACTTTTGAGATATGGTCAGAAACATTAACCTGTTAGAAATTATCGACGGACTTCTTGATGCATATTTTGTTATGTTGTCTGAGTTTCTATAGCAAAATTTGATTTTTGTCAAAAAATCACCATTAAAGCTGTTTTAAAAAATAACAAGCAATATTTTCAATATATATCGTCACACTACCCTACCACGTGACCACGTTTAAAAGGGAGACAGGGTACAGCTAAGTTGCAAATGGAGGACGTGGGTTTAATTCCATATTTCTGAACGTAAAATACATTTTACATTTATTTTTAGTGTTCTACCAGACATAGAATTGATTCATCAAGCAGTTTGTAGAATATTGTTGGCAAAAAACCACTATAGGCAAAGATAGATAATAGTGGGCGCAGTGAAGCAAAACTTAATGCAATACACGATACATTTCAGTAAATCTGTCAACGTACAGGGAGCATGTAAGTTTCCCTTCGAAAATGTTACATTGATATGTAACAAAACCCCAGTAAACTGTTATTTAAACTGCTTGTCATCGTGTTATATGTGGATACGTTTTCCAGTATGTTATTCAACTGTACTTTTGTGAATTAATTGTTTTTCTAAAATCTTAAGATGCAAAATAGTCGTCCCGGAAATGTATCTTTACTTTGCCGTAAGGCATAACATATTGTGAAACATTTTTCCTCTTGTCACAAGGAGGATAATGTTTGTTTCGAGGTGTCTTGTGATGAGCGTTTCATGATTAAATGCAAAATCACTGGAGCAGATACCATCAAAAAACATCTGACATTCAACACGTCATATAAGACTACATCGATCTGGTATTAGTTTTTTTTACAATAATAGAGAAATACGACGTCATATCACCTCTACAGCAAATCGTGAAGAACAAAATGTCGTGGCATGATGGTATTTTGAACAAACTATTTTAAATGATCGGTTTTTGAGGACGGTAGTGAATTAGACCATTTAAGGGGTTATATAGAAAGATTCTTTACATGTAGTTCACGCAATTTTAATTATTCTGAATAGCGGATAGTCATTAATCCTGATAGCCAATAGTCATTTATCACTTACGTGTTTATATTTAATTTCGTTATTTTATTTCAATTTGATACCCTAGTAACACGTATAATCTAACGTTCTTGTTAATTTAATGACTAAAATGCATTTACGACCTGAAAGCCCGTGTCTAAATCTACTAAATAATGTTTACTTTATTTGGATTAAATAACAATTGATGACACCTCAAAGTATCAACAGACGGCCTTTTTAGTATTATGTTCACTGTTTGCAACGTAAATATACATGAGATCGGGACATAGTATGTCTGTATAATCAGCTTACTTTCTCGCTCCCTGTACTATTGAACAATTTACATTCCTTGTACCCTGTATTGATCAACTTTCGCAGCTGTGTACCGTGTACTATGACATATCAAATATTTTAAAATTTAAAACGATATTATTTACATTATTTCTTCAACTATCATATAACTTGGAACATGGACTTCACTATTGCACCACTGAAGTTCAGCGAATAGCAATATTGACTCACTCCGAGCACCAAACGTATTAACCTTTTCACTAAGCAGTCGATATACTCAAAAGCGACCTGATTGAAAGCCCAAAAATTCGCGCATGCGCTATCGAGGTAGGGTAGTGTGATCGTATGGTCATGGTAAACAGTTGTGTTTTTATTATTGTATTTTGTTTACCACCAATGAAGGTGAGCAATACCTCCTGGGTATGTCCCGTATATATACGGTCGTAATTAACGTGATTAACATGGAAGATAGACCCAGAAACCCCTCCTTTAAGGAGCCCTGTGTTCTTTTATGTGCACTTACACATAGACATACAAGTACACACCACAGCCTTTTGTACGAGTTGCGGACCACTCAGTCAAACACCCTGAAGTACTTCACGCAAACAAGCAAATTTAGTCTTGCCTGAACCGGGGATCGAATCTGTGCTACCGCTGAACTACACCGGTGGACTAATAATAATGTCGTTGATATCAATACACATGGCGCAGGATGTGGAAGAAAAGCAGAATTCATGGATTTCAAAAAATATCAATTATCGTAAATTTGCCCATAAACAAGCCATAAAATGACAAATCCAGAACAAGAATGTGGTGTATATTGTAAATAATAAGGTTTCAATTGCAATATTGTAAGATGACTACGTATGAATTGTATGATTTTATGGACGGTAACGTATAGTATTAGTACACTAGATGTTTAGCGGACGGTTACGTGTATGTACACCTGTCAAGTCAAAGTTGCTAGATCTGATGGCCTCTTTCCATGTTATTGTTATAATGGGTAAAAAATGGAATACTGAATTGCCTACATTGTGTATATTTGTTTGTTTTCAGGACTCGCAAGATACGCTTTTGTTTGAGCCTCTATAGGGCAAGGAAAAAACTTAAGTGGCTTGCTTTATTGATGAAACCAATGAAAGTGAAAAAGATAGCAATGAAGAGGCAAAAGAAGAGTTAGCATCAAATACCAATGAGGATGACAAAATTAATAACAATCTGGGTTTTATATTTGAACGAGGTTCGCGTAACCGTCAATCAATTTTTGCGTTTTTAGACCATGCCCCAACGACAACAATAAATAAAATACTAAAATTTGTGTAGTATTGAATTTCAAATTCTACAGTTTTTCCATTATTTCCTCTAATCCCCGGGTACCAATTTACAAAGACTACGTTTAAAGTATACATAAGTGAATGCATCATCGAATGCGACGCTTACATAAATTGATCATCCTTTCATTGATTCACATTTGTAATAATAATGCACCAATCTTAGATTTCTGTTCAATCGTGGCCATTTTATTGGATAAATCAGTGAACGTAGCAGTTCAACCTCGTTTTTAGAGGTATTGTAACCGTGAGGCTATAAAATGCGTGACAAACAGATAGGTTAATTACAGTAAATTGTGATTGAGATGCAGTTTTATGACCTACTATACCTGTATGTGATTTTTACTCTGAGAGTGCGATTTTTACCCGGATCGTGCGGAATTCGCAAGAGAGTGCTGTTTGATTACCTGTGTATTAGGTGGCAACCAATGTCACAATAAGGTTACAATGTTCAGTTTCGAATCTAAACTAAGTAAAGGATATGTGAGCTGTAAAATATTAAACAAATACTGGATGACCATGAGGTGGATATGCCAGAATACCTATCCGAGGAAAAAATACTAGGCGAGGCGAGGCCGAGCCTAGTATTTCTTTTCGAGGATAGGTATTCTGGCATATCCACCTCATGGTCATCCAGTATTTATTTTATTATGCACCTCCCTTGAGAAATACTTTATTTTAAAGAATGGGTCTACTAAAACAGTAGCCAAGCCTATAACTTACTCTAAAAACCCTGGTGTTCGACAATCAAAAATTCCATTTATTCTCTCATTTGGCCTTATTCTTAAGTATTCCCTCCATATATAATAATTCGGCCGATCCCTTATCTAGCGCCACCTACTTTTTGTCAGTTAATCACAGGAAATTGAATAGAAATCCCTTTCTCTCATATCACGCAAATCATTTCTCCCTCGCATTCTTCTCAAATTCAACATGGAAGAGATTCTAAGAAAATGACGTCATCGACAATTGGACTCGTCGAAATTATTTTTTCGAGGATAGGTATTCTGGTATACGGGATGGTTGGAGATCTCGTTGCTTCAATACTGGATAGAACGAGATCTTGCTGCCACGTATGGCAATAGACCCTGCAGCTCTTAACCAATCAGATTTGAGTATTTTAATGAGGTACATAATAAAAGAAATTATGAATCAGTGTACCACTGCTTTCATGTAAATATCTAAAGTGCCAAAGGGAGAGGACCAAA